CATTCCCAGCACAGAGATGATGCTGACAGTGTGGCACATAGCAGAGGTGGATTAGGAGTTTGTGGGGCCCTGGGCCAGAGCAAGTGCCCTCCCCCCAGCACTTCTGCCAGGGGAAATGGGGTCAGGGTGCAGGGACTTGCCCTGCCCCCTGCACAGCACTCCTTCTCGGGAGCTGGTGTGGGGGCTTCCCCTGCCTGCCCGGTGCGCCTGCTGGGGAGTGGGGTTGGGGCATGGGGGTCCCCCTTTTTCCAGGGGTCCCCCAATTAGCCAGGGCTCCTGGGCACAGGCTCCGTTGGCCCAGTGGTTAATCCGCCACTGCACACACAGAAAGAGATGGCGTGGGGACATGCTAAGAATGCAAATGTCCTTAGCAATGAAAATGCTTGCAGTATAATGAGACATACAGAGTAGCATTGTGGTCCTGTAGCTAAAGGAAGGGGAGGCTGGGAGCCAAGACTCCTGGCTTCCATTCCCAGCTCTAGGAGGGGGAGCAGGGTCTAGCTGGTTACAGCGGGGGGCTGGGAGCCAGGACTCCTAGATTTTATCCCCTAAGAGCTCGGATGCCCCACACCAGAGGTGGCTGCATCTCAGCCTGGGGCAAGCCATCCCTGTGCTGTGTTTCTGTGAGGCTTTTACCTACCTACCTTCCCCACCCCACTGTCAGATGCACCTCAGCACCGAATGAGTCAGTCATTAGTATACTGCCTGTGAAGGTGATCCCGAAGGATTCCAAGAACACCGTGTAGGGAGAAGGGAGGTGGTGTTAATCTGAAAACCATCTGTTTTTACCTAGGATTTGTCCAACAGCAGATCGGGAGCATAAACAGAACTAGAATGAGATTAAACTAAGACCATTCGTATTTTATTAATTTCACACTTGATAGCAAAAAATAAATCACTTGCACTCAGATCACTTATTGTCACCACTAGTCCACCCAGTGTCAGTTACTTGTCTTGTGTGAGACACAGAGACTAACCGAGAGGAGACGGTCAGGTTTTTAGGTTGATCAGCTGATATTTACCCAGACCTTCAAGGATTCTGGACCCAACTCACTTACTGGAAGAAGCGTGACTCGGTACCTTTTTATAAATTTTATTAAAGCCACTTCAACCCCCTCCCACCAAAGTTAAGCTTTTATTACTAACATAAAATCAAACTACAAATAAAAGCAATACAACTGGAGCTGCCTGGAAAACAGGATTTTCCGTGGGAAGGTCCAACATTTTGACACTGAATTTTGTTGCAAATCCAGATAAGCAGTTACAGCTTTTCTGGAAAGGATATTTCAGAAGAAAATATTTGCTTCAGAAGCCTGCACACAACCTGATCAGAATGTTTTGATAACTCAATGATAAAGTTAGTACAACAATTAATATTTCACAATATAAGTTGACACGAAACAAGCAAGTCAAAACGAAATGCTCCATTTTGATTCAGAATTGTGTTGAGATTTTTTTCTGTCAAAAGCTTAGCTGATAACAAAACCTTTCAATTTGGATCAATACACCTTTGATGGAAAACTCTTCCATCAAGATTTTTTTGTGGCGGGGACCAGCGTTAATTACAACTGCCAAATCAAAGTCAAATCAACAAATTAATCTCAACAGCTGATCATCAAAAAGAATTCTGGAGATAAAAAATTCTTTATTAATTCTAAAAGAGGATTCTAAAAGACATCAGCTGGCTGTAGGGTTAGAAACCCCAATGACAGAGTTCTGCCAGCTCACATGTATGATTTAGACCTGGGTAAGTGCTTAATACCAAATTATCCAATGTCTGACCCCAGCCATCCTTTGATCAGTCTCTTTCTGTTCCCTAAGAAAGCAGATCACCCTTAACTGCACTCCCAGCTCCTGTTCCATTACAGTCAACTGGATCAGACTTGTCAGCTGAGGTTAATGAAAGGGCAAGCGGCAGTTTTAAAAAAAGCAATCACTTTGTTCTGCATGGTTCAGTGGTGAGGAGAAATCTGGCCCCATTTCCCCAGCCCAGCTGCGTGGGAGCCCACAGGGGAAGTAACAGTTGTTTCAGGAATTAACTGAGAAGTACGTTTATGTTACTCCTTCGACCTTGGCAACTGAGATTACCTAAAAGGGGATTTAGAGCAGAGATGACGGGAGCAACAGTGGGCGAATGATGACAGCTGGCTTCAGCAGTGTTACTGAGCATGCTCAGTACAAGCCAAACAGCAAATCGGAGGGGGGGGCATGTGATCCTGCATGTACCTCCCCACGCAACACCCTGCTTTAGAGACGTGAAATAGACAGTATAGTGACTTAATTTCCCCTCTTTCCAATGGAGATCACAGTTAGGGAAAGTGGCTTGTCTAGGCTCAAACAGTGAGTTGGTGGAAGAGCTGAGGATAGAACCCAGGTGTTCTGACTCCCAGCCCACCACTGCACTAATCCAATAGACGCCACTCCCCTCCCCTCCCAGACCTAGGGATAGAACCTAGGAATCTGGACTCTCAGGCTACCTACCCAGACTACATATCCCATGATGCACCATGGCCCAGAGTCCCATGATGCACTCAAGAAGAGTGGAGCACTATGGTCTATCATGGGAGATGTAGTCCAGCCAGGAAGTCTGATTCATATAGGAGAATGGGAGCATGAGGTACCCAAACCACAACTCCCATAAGGAAGCATTTCTAAATTAAAATTTTGTGGAATTCAGGTCCCCCCCCCTAGCCCAAATTGGCATTTTCCATGGGAGGAAATAGCTCCCATTTTCCAGACAGTTGTAAAGATGGGCCATGGTGGGTCAGGAGGAGGGAAGGAGTAGTAGGTGATAATGGGAAGGGAAGAAGAGGTAAAAATGGGACAGAGAGGGCAGAGTTATACAGTGGACGAACTCTCAATGCCGCCCCACAGAAAAGCACTGGGGCGTGGCAGAGCCTGGGAGTGGTCCATGGCAGAAGGTCCGTCACCTTGGAAGAGACTGGTAGAGATTCAGGGGCCCGTAGGGGTGGCTGTGGCAGGCCGGGTGGATCCTGCCAGGCTCAGAGGCAGGGTCCTCAGAGCTCCATGCAGAAGGTCAGATTGGTCCCAGCCATCTTCTCCTCATAGTCCTCATCAAAGCGCTCATTCTGCGCCACGGTGAAGTGGTTCTTCCAGTCCCCGACAGTCCCTGCAGACAACAGAGACGCAGAGACAGGAGTCACCATGAGAGGGGAAGAGCTTGGACTTTAGACACAGCCAGCATCTGCAGCGGGCCTATCACAGCTGCCAAGGCACTGCTCTGGGGAAGCTCAGAGCTCTCAAGGCCTTGCTGAGCACTGCTGTGAGCCAAGCAAGGCAAGGCCCCAAACCTCTACAGACATTTAAATGCCCTTCTGAAGTGAGTTGGTGGAAAAGCTGAGGATAGAACCCAGGAGTTGGGACTAGATCCCACTCCCCTCCCAGCCCTAGGGATAGAACCCAGGAATCCGGACTCTCAGGCTACCTATCCGGACTACATGTCCCATGATGCACCATGGCCCAGAATCCAATGATGCACTCAAGAAGAGGGGAGGACTGTGATCTATCATGGGAGATGTAGTCCAGCCAGGAAGCCTGACCCATATAGGAGAATGGGAGCATGAGGTACCCAAACC